AAATACATGGCAAAGAGGAAAAGTTAAGGAAGGGATTTGGAACACTTTCATCTTCACACTTGAAATTGAAATTTATGGTTTATTTTGGATTTCAAACTATTGATTTTCTTATGGATTGCTCAAATACAAGTTTAGGCTGCCAATATTTTATTTCAAATTTTATTTATTTATTTTTTACTAAAGAAATATGAGTATATCATAAAAAATATTATTATATACATTTGCTCTCTTTTTTTTGATATATTAAAAGAATAAAATAGCATTTTATTACTTAAAAATTTAACTTTTAGCACTATACATCTAATGAATACATGAAATAGATCATCTCTAGATAAATTTTAAATCTATAATATTTACCTCCTGATCAACATTTTGAGTGGATTTTCATCAAAAATTTTAACATGTCATGCACATGTAAATTTTAAAGGTTATGAATGCCTTTTTATACTCTTCCCACCAAAACTTACTCAAGTGGGGAGGGATTCGACTTTAAACTAATTTGGGTTAAAAAAAGGTTATCTTTCACTTTAATCTTTCTTTTCTCGTTGAAAATTTTTAGAGTTGCAAAAAAAATCCTCCAATTGAAGTTCAAAGCATGTAAAGCTAGACTGAGTATAGAAAAATTCAAGATCAAATAAAGAAGTTGAGTTGGAGACTGAGTTAGGAGAAGAAAAGCACAAGATTGATAAATGTTGCCAACGCTAGACCACAGGAGTGAAAAGCCAGAAACAAATGACAACTATTGCCAACAATAAGGTATATGGCAAAAGTTTGATCATTGAGATTAAAAATTTTCTATTAGATTATATAAGATATGATAATAATAAAATACACCGTAAAAGTTGGAAACAAAATCGAATGCATTTCAGATGAAAGATGTCTTTTCAAACTAATAATCATCATCTGCCTATAAACTTAATTATTAATGTTATTGAATTTATCTTAAAAGACATCTATATTCTTCAAAGTAGCACACGTTAAATTTTTCGATGAAAATCTCACTAAAATATTGATTAAAAGCTAAGTGTTGTAGACTTAAAATTTGCAGAGAATGATCATTTTTATATGTGTGCAAAGAGTATAATACTAAAAGTTAAATTTTTGTGGGGAAGAAGTATTATCTATTATATTAAAAATTTATACCAGAAAAAGAGAAAGACCGTAGTAAATTAAGAGTCGAATTTATAACTTTTAGATAAATTTTACAATTATTTCACCACTTAGATTAAAGTTTAAATTTGATATAAAACTGAAATTGAGGGTGAAGAGTTGCTTGAATTGGTATATATGACATATTGAGCCTTTTCATTTTTTAGTTTTAAATATATGAGTTAAAAGCATAGAATCCCTTATATTTTTTTAGATTACACAAAACTCTTTTATAATATAAAAATTACACTAAACTGTCTTGTATTTTAAAATTCTTTGAACTTTAGTCATATTTTTTTCCACCACAAAGTGTTAAATTGTAATAGTTGAATTAAGAATTTAATTAAGAGAATATAAAAGATAAAGTTTATTGTATAAAAAAAGAAAGATTTTGGGGACCAAAATAAATAAAGGGTATTAAGTTTTGTTTATTTTTACTTTTTATTTTTAAAAAGAATTATTAAATTCTTAGTTTTGTTTGCTTATTTTGATGAAACAAATAATCACTATAAAAAATTATTATTTAAAAGTTTTTGAAAAAAATAAAATATGCATAACAAAATAAAATAAAGATAAAAAATAATAATTAGAGACATTCAATCCTCGACATCAGATAATTAAATTTATTACAAAAAAGAATGAATCATAATATAAAAAATAATATTTTTAATCAAATAATTATTTTAATTTTAAATAAATAATAAATAAGAAAAATTTACAACTATTTTCACTTAAAACAAGTAGGGAAATATTGAAATACAATATATTTTATTTTAATTCTTATATTAGAAGGAAGTTTTGTGCAAACCAGTTAAAACATAGAAAAGTATTTTGGTTTTTTTAAAATAGACTTTTAATGGATAGGGATTTGACATATAGAATAATTAAATACAACATACTTTATTTAATTTTCGTATTAAAAAAAAGTTTTGTACAAGTTAAGTATAATATTGAGGGTGGGGGGGGGGGGGGGGGGGGGGGGATGTTTCTACTGGCTTTTTTCTTAAAAATCTGTTTATAACATTTATGTTAAACTGGAATCACCTTGGACAGTAAATAAACAATGCATACAAAGAAGAAGGTGAAAGAGAGGATGTTCTACGTGTGTATCCAAAAGCTGCTTTTCCCATAATTTTCCTTCAAAAGCAGCGGCGTAATAAACCGGGATTCAAGTAAAGTGGATTTTTCCACCGCCCGATCAATTCATCAATGTGTGCTAACAACCACGTGTCCGGCCGTGCATGTTGGTCAGGTTGGGTACACGAACATGGCCCCACCACTTGAATCAACTGATTAAATCTTTTTCATCATAATCAAACGGTCTGTGTAATTTCTCGTAAAAAACAAAGAAAGGATGTTTACGTGGGGCGGTGGAGGAGACTGGAGGTTATCATCCTCTCATTAATTATTCTAAACAAATCACAGTCCCTCATCGCTCTTTTTGGTACCATGAAATGCCATGACGTTTGGTGGACTGCATTGACCGTGACAGTGATCTTTGTTCAGTATTGTTGGGTGTTTTTACCGTTTGCTTGCGTTAGACATGCATGTTTATGGCAATAATGGCAGAGCTACTCTCCGGCGATGTTGGTTGGCGGGATATGGGTGGATAAATAGATTATTTAGCCGCCCTTGTTCGCGTTAGATTACTTTGATAAATTTAATCCAATGAAATTTAAATACAGTTTGCCATCTTATAAAATTTTTTATAAATTTATTTTAGAAGGTAAAATAATTTTATTAAACTTTTATTTAATTTGTTAAACAAAATTATTATTACTATATGTAAAACAAATTATTAAAAGATTATTGCCTATATCGTTGCCGATTGTCAAATTTCACTGTCCACTACCGGCCACTATTCTTTGTGAATACATTATATTTGTCTAGTTTTTTATTCCAAACATGTTAAATAATAAATAATAATCTAAAATATTATTTATTCAAGATATCTTATTTACGTTTAATATTTATCTAATCTCATATTATCCAATCTATCAAACAACCTTTTACAAAATTAGCATGAATTGTAGAGAAATTTATTAATAGATTAATTTTGAATTCAAATTTCTCATATTAGTGGCTTTACGAAAAATTGTAATAAAAAATTTGATAAAAATTTGATCTTACAAAAAAAATAGTGTCTATTGCATTTAAATCCCTTCAATTTATCCACCAATTATATTGATCTCTAAATTTTTTAATTTTTTCAATTTTGTTTTCTACAAGTTTAAATTATTAGTATTATATATAAGGTTATTAATTTAATAAAATATATTATTATAATTCAAATTCAGATTTTTACGGATATTTATAATCAAATTTAATCTATCAAATATTTTGATTATATTTAAATTATAAAATTCAAATCAAATTTAGATTATTGAAAAACCTAACTCTATTTATTTTCATTCTTACCGAGTTTGTGGTTATAAATTTATAAGGCAGGAAAGGTGGCTCAATAATTCTTAAATCACTTAGATTGTCAAAAATTTAAAGAGTTAACTTGCAATTTTTAAATGATTATAATTTTAATTTATAAAATTTACAAAATGCATATAACTCCCATTTGGTTTTTCCATTGTTCCGTCCACAAAGCCTGCTTTGTTTTTGAAATGGAGAGTATTACTCATAAAGTTACGCTTCCAAGTCAAATAATTTTCATTATTTTCATTGAGAGGTGGCGTAACAAAAATCAAACATGTCAACTGTCTTAGCTTAATTTGTACCAATTGTTTGCAACCAATTCTCCCCCATTGTTCTCAGCCATGTACAAAGAAGAAAACTAGAATACATTATCCTTCTCTGATAACATAAAGAAATTGGTACGGGAAAAAGTTTTGTAAACTTTGTTACAGGAGAAATATATATATATATATATATATAGAGAATGAGAGAGAGAGAGAGAGAGATAGAGAGAGAACATCCTCCAATAATTAAGAAAAAATTTGAAACGAGACCAAAATTTAATGGGTTAAGTTAATTCCACCTTCATAACTTATACATTATAATAAGTTAATTCCACCTTTATAACTTATGCTTTGTAATTTATCAAAATTAACTTTAGTCCAATATCTAAAAGTAGAAAGTGAACAACGCGAACTTGTAAGCATGCCCATGGGCCATGGCCATACCTGCCATAACTCTCTCTCTCTTTCTCTCTCTCTCTCACACACACACACACACACACAGCCCACACCATAATTTCTCTCTCTATATATCGCACTAACCTCAGTGTGAGGCCTTCCCCTCCACATTTCTGCTAGTTACCCTTACTTCTAACCAAACTCCTTTCTGACTCTCTCTTTCATTCTCACCGCCAAGATTGTGGGTAGAAAAATGTCGTGCAAGGACTACGGCCACTACTACGAATACTGGAGGAAGCTCTACCGCAACATAGTCGCGGGGATCCTCGGCTTCATCATCTTGGTCCTGCTCGTGATCTTCGTCATCTAGGCCATCCTCCGGCCCACCAAGCCCTAGTTCGTCCTCATGGACGCCACTGTCTTCACCTCCAACGTCTCCAATGCCCCAACTTTATCTCCACCAACCTCCAAATCACCCTCTCCTCTCGTAACCCCAACGACCGCATCGGCATCTACTACGACAAGCTCGACATCTACGCCACTTACCGTGGTCAACAGATCACCCTACCGACTCCTCTCCCCTTCACTTACCAGGGATATATGTGAAAAAATGGTGAAAATATTTTTGTTATTTTATTCAATTTGCATATAAATTCTTTTAAACAACTAAACAAAAATTTAAATTTTTTAATCATTCAGATTTTTATTTTCAAAATAAGATTACAAAAATCTAGAAACTCTGGCAAACTAAACAGCTCCTTGGTGATGAGTGTTTATTTTCACTTAGAAAAAATCCAATTCAAAAATAAGAATTTTTTTAGAGAAATAACTTTTTTTACTCTTTATATATAGGCTAAACATACTGAGAATTTTTTTAAAAAAAAATTAAAAAACCTTATAACATGAACATTTTCAAATTAATCATGTGGGTCGGGTGTATTAAATTTGAATCGGGTTTGATCTGACTCACTGATTTCAGGGTCATAAGGACGTTAACATTTGGTGTCCGTTCGTGTACGGAAACTGCGTGCCGGTGGCGCCGTACCTGGCAGTGACGCTTGCCCAGGACCAGGTCTTGGGGACGGGGCTTCTTAACATCAAGGTCGATGGGAGGGTGAGGTGGAAGGTGGGTTCTTTCATCTCGGGCAGGTACCATCTTTATGTTAACTGCCCTGCTTACATCTCGTTTGGCAACACGAATAGCGGTATCTCCGTTGGACCCGCCGTTAAATATCAGCTGGCGCAGATCTGCCACGTTGACGTTTGAGGTGTTAGCCAGTGGTTTTTACGTTGACGTTGTAACCGCATGTTAAGGATTTATTTTTACTTTTGCCAGGTTTAAATTGGTAGACTGTTTATTTTTTTTACGGCTAATCAAGCGAAATACTCATGGGTGTTTCTTTCTTTTAACCGTGGGTTGACGATGATAAATAAATAATTTTTTGACTAAAAGCGCGACAGAGTTCAGAAACCTAATGATATGCCTATACATACGAGCTTTTGCATTAATTACATACATAAAAATTTTGCAAGGATAATTTACACTCACACCTCTGGGGTTTGCCCTTATTACAGAGATATCCTTGTTTTAAGACTATTGTGTGTAGCAATACCCTTACTGACAATTAGATACCGTCATCGCTCTTAAAATTTGGGAAATGTTAATCTAGTTGATTGCTTGGGCCTGGTACCAAAAAAATATTAAAAAAATCCAAAATAAGTGAAAAAAAACATATTATGCATTTTTAAAATTTTCGTATATATAAAAATCAGAGTATAACAGGGGTGTCTCTACAAACGAGAAAAAACTGGAGGGGTGCGATTGGAAATACATAAAAAAAAGGAGCTTGGCAGGGTTGGGTTGGTTTGGGAGGGGCTCCTTTGATCTCCCGGGGATCTATGTCCGTTGGTCAATGCCCACTCCTCGAAAATTAACAAATCAAAGGTGGAGATTGTTCTAGACATTACTCGAAGAGTTCACAAATGAGGAAATAGAGTTGACGTTGTTAAATTGTGTTAGTAGCCTGTTTCACGGGCCTTGAATCGGCCAGATCGGAATCGGACCATCGGTTCTGGTCCTGAAAAAATGTGAATTGGGATCGGAACTTTAAAAGTCGATTCGATTCCGGTTACCGTTTATGTCGGTTTCGGGTCCGGTTCATTCACGGTTCCGGTTTCGGTTCGTTTCCAGTTTATTCCTGGTTCATTCACGGTTTGGTTCCTGGTTCATTAACGGTTCATTCATAATTCGGTTTTCGGTTCGTTCACGGTTCAGTTCCCAGTTCGTTAATAGTTCGGTTCCAGTTCGATTCAATTTTGGTTCATCCACGGTTCAATTCGGTTCCAATTTGATTTTACCAAAAAATTTATTTATTAACTTATAAATCATTTAAAAATTTTTTAAATAATCTATTTTCTTAATTTATTTAAACTATTAAACATTGAAAAATAAATTTTCTTTTGTATATATATAAATTAGCTACTTTAATTTATTGACTAATGGATGAAACTCATAAACTCTTATAATCTTTTATTACATATAATTAGGAGTGTGCAAATCACAATTTTGGTTTGATTTTTGATAATTTGATTTTGTTTTTTGATTTTTTTTTATTTTAAACACTTTAAAATAAATTATTATTATCAAATATGTATATATATGCAAGTATATGTATGTGTGTGTATATACTTGTACATACATACATACATACATACATACATACATACATATATGTATATATTCATGTGTGTGTGTGTGTGTATATATACTCATATAAACATAAAAATATATATGTATACGTGTATACGTACACATACATATGGGTATATATAAATCATAATATTGGTTTAGTTTTGATAATTGGATTTGATTTTTTTGTTTTACTATTTTAGAAACCAATTAATCTAATTTAATTATAAATTAAACCAAACTAAACTTAAAATTTCAACATGCATATGTATATATATGTTACATGTATACATAACATATATATTTGTGTATATGTATATATATTAAACATATATATATTCATAAAAATATAGAAATATATATGTGTTTGTGTGTGTGTATGCATAAATACGTAAATACATATATTTACCTATTTATATATGTATATATACGTACATGCATACATATATATATTTACATGTGTGTGCGCGTGCATGTGTGTGTGTGTGTGTATATATGTATATATTTATATTTATATGAGTGGATAAAATTTATACATATGTGTGTTTATATAAGTACATATGTATGTATGTGTGTTTGTGTACACACACATATATGTTCATATAAATATTATGAACGTGTGTGTATTTTTTTATGAAACAAAAATATTTTTAAAATTTTGGTTTTTAGTTTAGAATGGTTTTAGTTTGGTTTTTAAAACCAAACCAAACCATAAATTTGAATTATTTTTTTAATCCAAACCAAATCAAACTAAATTTAAAAACACAAAACCAAATTTTAAAAATTAGTTTGATTAATTGGTTTGGTTTTGCATACCCCTATGTACAATGTATTTTATTTTAACTTTAAATGAAAAATAAAAATATTTTAAATAATAAAAATTAAACTTTGAAAATACTAAATATTTTACGGTTCATCACGGTTCCGGTTCACGGTTCATTTACGATTCGGTTCATGGTTCGTACATGGTTCACGGTTCACGGTTCCGATTCACGATTTGTACATGGTTCCGGTTCACGGTTCACAGTTCATTCCCAGTTCCAGTTCATCAGATTCGTTCACGGTTCCAGTCCAGTTCCGATTCAAGTTCAAAAAAAATATGAACCTTAACCGAACTGCAAACCTTCATGGTTCAGAACCGGACTAGACTGGATATTGACGGTCCAATCTGGTCCAATTTTTTTCCAGTCCGGTCGTGCTTGTTCATGATTCAAACCTGAACCGTGAACAGGGCTATGTGTTAGCATGTATTTAGGATCTTGTTTGAAGCAAAAGGTACAACCAATACACTCCATTTATCACCTTCTAATACTGCTTACTTCATTTTTATTTTTTTATTTGGGGAATCAATTAGGGGTATTAAATGCTTAATATTTAATTATACTAATATTAGGTTGCTTTATTTTTATCACTTGTGCTTCATGGTTACCGTTACAAACAAATTATGTAATATTCTTTTCTACATAAATTAAATGTTTAACCTTTGATTATATTAATTACACCTTTATTAAATTAATGATTTTAATGCATTGCCTTTCTTTTTTTTTATTTTATGATAATTACTAAGGTCATACCTCTAAATATATTTATACCCAAATTATTAACATAAAAATATTTTTTCCTCTTTTAATATATTTTATAAATATATCTAATTTTTATTTTTAATTAATTTTTACCTATTTTTATTTTAATATTTAAATTTTTAATTTTACAAAAATATTTACAATCACCGCAAGCGACTGTCTCTGACAGTGGCAGGACAACTTGACATTTGACCATGAAAGGAGGTACGATATTTTACCAAGAAAAAGAAATTCTAGCACTAGTATCGCCTTTTACTTTCCTTTCTTCTTGCATCGCCAGGTGTAAATTATTTATATTGCTTAGGAAGGAGGAGGCATTTTACAGGGTATTTTAAAGGCTTTTGAATTTTCACTTTGAAAAAAAGCCAAAAAGTGGCTTGTCCAAACGGCTTCCAGGGAAAGTTGGGAAAGGTAATTAAATTTGTTTGCCTACTTCTCTCTGGCCTTGAGGCAGCAGGTATTATTAACGACTGGCCTACAAAGGTCCATAACCAGTCGGAGGGTCCACACCCCACAGTGGAAGGGTCCTTTTCGTGCTTGCCCAACACGTGATTCACACCAATTAAAAGAATATTTTTTTAAAAAATTTTACTTTATTGATAAATTACAATATTTATTTAAAATAATTTAAAATTTTATTATTTAACATCTAGGTCATCCAACAACCTATAACTTGTGAAAGTTATTTGAATCTTAAAAATATGATTTATTTAATATTATCTTTAAAGATAGTACTCTCTTTTTTCATAATTATTCCTTGTATACGGTGAGACAAGAAGCTCATTTCACTTTAAAAAAAAAACACAACTTTTAAAAATTGTATATTGTCAATGAGAGCAGTGCTCTTTTTTTACAAAAAAGTAACTTTTTCACACACATAATGAGGTATCAATCCTATTTCAGTATATTTGTATTTGATATTAAGGAATAACTTAATGGATCAATTATCTTAATATTTATTAAATTAATATTAAATATTAATTCTGATATTAATTAATAAAATGTTAAATTATCTGATACATAAATTAAAATTTAATATCAAATAAATTATCATTACGAAAGAAAAGAGATTTCTATGAAACAAATATATCTCAATCCTATCTCACACTTTTTACCTAAAAGACTTGTGCATTGTTCATTATCATCTGCCAGAAACTTTCTTCCAACTCATTATATTCATGCTAATTGCTATTTCATTGTATTGAGTAATCCAATGGTTATGTAATGATTCACAATCCCTTAACTATTTCTAGAAAATTCTTGAATCCTTTTTCATAACCATTCAAACAATTAATTTTCTTCATTATTTACTTTTAAATCATAATTTTCACTACTTAAATGATTTTTATGTTCCAAATTAAAATATAAACTCATTTTTTCTTTTAAAAATCATTGATAAAAACTAAAATATGCAGAACAAGATGCTTCTTTAAAAGACATAAAAGAATTTAGTGTACATTTAATTCCATAGATATTATCTTATTAGAACAAAATTCTCATAAAAAAGAAGAAAAAGGGAGAATTAAAAATTTTTAAAAATCTAATCAATGAAATTTACTAAAAACACCCTTGTAATCCATGTAATTTCTCCCACGTGCGAAAAACCAAAAATGTTTTTGTTTTCACAAGAAGAATTCATCTTTCCCTCAATAATTTGCCCACAGGAGAGTTGTATTGATGTCGTCAGGAGGATGCAGAGTATCTGTTCTCACTTCACGTCCAATTAAACAATGAGCAAGACTTCGGTACACTAAAATAAAAAGAGTGTACCGGAACAATACTCTCTTTACCCTGTTAATTTTTTTGGAAGTTGGCAAATTTTTTTTAAAAAAATTTATTTTACACGTTTTTCAAAATAATTAAAAGGTAAAATTTGCTAGAGTTGTACTGGTAGCCTCTTTTGGGGGGAGGGGGGTACTGCAGTGTTGGCCTTAAACAATAGCTGCCAGTGGTCCAACCTCCATTTCAATTCAATGCACCCCATGTAATAAAAAT